CTGGTTGCTAGACACTCATTTTTTCAGAACTTGAAGAATTGTCCACACTATTAAGTGACATATCCAAGAACTTTCAATACATTGCACTAAGGGTGGAGTTTTCAACAGATGGTCTGAGCCAGAACAATGTGATAGACAGAATTAGGAGCTCACTTTAGCTCTTTAGTGAGCTATGGCATGAGTACCTTCCTTCTAGATTGCCTGCCTAATCAAAAAGTGTAAGTAGGATGGCAAACCAAAACTGTCAAAGGAAAGATTAGTGACCCCAGCATAGGTAAGAAAGACTGAGCTCAATAACGGTTCCTGAGGCTGCAGCAATCATAGGAATGGGAGGACAACTAGGAAGACTGAAGGACCTGCTGCTGGATCTGAGAGACTGCAATAAGACACCCTTTTCCAAGTAACAAGAGGCTAGACTCTCAAACCATATAGATGTGAATAAAAATGACCAAAGGAGTCAATGATGATGTGTGACTCTTCAACCTGAGGATAGTGTACCACAAGGATTCAAGAATTCAGGAGGGCAGAAATTATGAGTAACACTTTCAGGTGCCAAACTACGCACTCTGCCTTTCCCAGTATTTTCTTGTACACCATTCTTCGGACTGACACGTGTTGTAGGCCTCACCAGGCACCTCTTCAAAATCCAACTGGCTGTCACCACTCACCAATATCCTACTGGTATTTTGCACCTGTGCTTTACAGTCGCCTCCACAAACCCTTTCAACAGCTCGACACAAATCAGAGCAAACACTTGTATCTTCCTGCTTTCTTTCCTTGTATAGGAAGAGAGCGCCAAATGGCTAGGAGAAGGAGCGGTGTAGTTTAAAGTTGGTTTAAGAACTTAACTGTTGTTATACATCTGCTGACAAAGCAATCAACAAGTACAGTGTTATAGAAATTCGGAGAAGATGCAAGCCAGACCTTTTGTTTATTTTGAGACAGCAAGAACTGCAGATGCTGGAGTCAGAGTCAATACAGTGTGGGGCTGGAGGAGCATTGCAGGTCAGGCAGCATCAGAGGTGCAAGATAGTCAACATTTCGGGCGTACATCCTCCTGATAAAGGGTCTAGACCAAAACGTCGACTCTCCTGCTCCTCTGATGCTGCCTGACCTGCCGTGTTCCTCTAGCTCCACACTGTATTGACTTCTGTTTATTTTGATGATAATATTTCACATCAGACTCTGAACTCTTCTCCCAGTCATTTTGGAGAGGCTAGAACGTAAATAAGGCCAGGCTATACTGTACTGTGCCATTACAGAAACAAAGTCAGCATAATGCAGGGGCTGATTTGGAGCTTTGTTCATACAGAGTATGAGGCACCTGAACCATGAACCCCTCAGTTGTACAGCTGCTCACAGGTTTTTGCCTGTGGAGAAGGAGACACCAGATGAGGAGGCTAAGCTTGACAAAGATAGTGGGAGGAAATCATCATGGGATGAAGCATTAGTTTAGAGATACTTCACCCAAGCTGTATCATGAATGATGGTGGCAAATTATTTGTAGTATTTACACTGTGTTTCATTTGCAAATGTACAATGGGAAAACGTGATCTGCTGGTAAATACATAGGGCAGGCAGGCCGATATTGGAGATTTTGATTTACTACTGGAGTTGGAAATAGTTGTATGACACTCAGTTCAGATTTTAACATCTGCCAAAATGTTCTTGCAGCAATGAATTTTGCCTAAAAATGATTTTTAATCAGATAATTGTCCAATTCTCTTCTGAAAGTAATGATTGAATCTACCTCCAACACACTCTCATACAGAGCTGCTGTTAGGAAATTGATCTCAATGAGAATTTACACCAGTATTTCTGCTGCATTCAGTAACTTTATGTGTAGCATGAAGAGCAATGAGCAGAAATTTAAATTTAAAGAAATACAGGCAGGTGTGTCAGGTAGAGAATTATGTTCTCAAAAATCTGTTCCCTGACCCAATCCAGCTTCAAACTTACCATTTTCTGGCTTTAACTGAAGCCAACAGGACCAAAGGAAGTGGATTCTAACCTTAAATAGGATAATGAAACTATGAATCACGTTTGTGTTCTCCTTATGAAGTTTATAACATCAATTGTGTTTCCCAAGCATTGAGAAATACGGCAGCATTCTCAATGCAAGAACTTGCTGGATCTGGAAAGTTGACCTCACATCCACCTTCTGGTTTGAGGTACCTCTCTGAGGAATCCCCATGATTGTACACTTCATCCCTCCAACCCTATTAGGTTTCCTCCCTCGCTTCTCCACCACTAACTAGGCTACCGTCAACCAGAAACTCGACCACATAAACATAATGGCTGCAAGAGCAGGTGAGAGGCTAGGAGTACTGGGCGAGTAACTCACCTCCTGACTCACAGAGCCTGCCCACCATCTACAAGGCACAAGTCAGGAGTGTGATAGAATACTCTCGACTTATCTGAATGGGTGCAGCTCCAACAACATTCAAGAAGCTTGACATCATCCAGGACAGAGCAGCCTGCTTTGATTAGCACTACATCCACAAGCGTCCACATCCTCCACCACCGATGCTCAGTAGCAGCAGTGTGTACTATCTACAAGATGCACAGCAGAAATTCACCAAGGATTTTTAGATAGCATCTTCCAAACTCAGGACTGCTTCCATCGAGAAGGACAAGGGCAACAGATAGGGCAGCCACCACTTGTGAGTTCCTCTCCAAGGAACTCACCGTTCCCTCACTGTTGCTGGATCAAAATTCCTTCTCTAAGGTCATTCTGGTCTACGTACAGCATAAGGTTCAAGAAGAAAGCTCACTACCACCTTCACAAGGCCAATTAGATATGGGCAATAAATGCTAGCCAGCGTGCAACACCCATGTCCCATGTGTGAATAAATAATAAAGCCCCCAAACCTCTCAACCTTGACCATAGTACAGCAAACCTCACCCCAATGGACCTCACATGCCCCACTTCCTTCTATCTAGTAGATCCTTCTTGTTGCCATTACCCCCTCCAATTAGCCTGATCCTCAGCCCTTTTATGCCTTCTCATTCTTTTTACATCTTCCAGGTGGGAATATGTTCTCCAAATCCACTCTATCCTGCCAGTTCACAATGATGAAAACCTGTGCAAAATCTCCTGGCCAGTCATCTTCTCCTCACGGAAAACAGTTGCAACCTCTTCATTCTGTCCTCATAGCTGAAGTTTCTCATTCCTGGAACCATTCTAATAAATCTCTTCTGCACTCTTTCCAATGCGTTCACATCTTTCCTAATATGCGGCATCCACAACTGTACACAATACTCCAGCTGATGTCAAACAAGTGCCTTATTCAGGGTCAAGTTCACCTCCTTGCTCTTGAACTCTATGCCCCTATTAAAAAAGCTGAGAACACTATGCCAACTACTGTCTCTACCTGTCCTGCCACCTTCAATGATCTATGCACATATACATCCAGATTCATCTGCTCTTGCATCCCCTCTGGAATTGTACCCCCTAATTTTTATTATCTTCCGATGTTCTTCTGAGCAAAGTGCATCACCTCAAACTTCTCTTCTTTGAACCTTACTTGTCATCTATCTGCCCATTCCACCAATTTGCAAAGTCCTTCTGTTGTTCCATGTGGTCCTCCTCACAGTTTACAATTCTTACAAGTTATGTGTCATTTGCAAAATTGTATTTACTCCTGCACACCAAGATTCAGATAATTAATGTACATCAGGAAAAACAAGAGCCCCAGAACTGACTGCTGGGAACTCTACCACAAACACTTCCTTTGTAATTGTCTAAAGAAGGTTAATAAAATGTTGGTACAGAAAAGCAGTTTGTGGTGTAATAATAGAAGAAATATGTGTTTTAAGCTCTTAATGCAGAGATGTTGCGTGCAATGCTTGAGATGCAAAGAAGTTTGTCTCATTTAATACTCATGATTCCAACTCCAGAGAAAATGCAGACTGGTAGCTTGGCTCATGAAGCACACTCATATGATCTGGAAATGAATGTGGTAGAAGTTTACACTACTTAAGTAAGCTATCAAATTAAAATGACTATGTAATACTGTTTAGCAGGTAGACGTTCCAAATTAATCTCCAGATAGACAAGTTAAATGAATCAATCCACAGTATGTAAAGCAAAATTACAAGTTGGTGCACACTGTGATTCAGTATTATAAATAATTTTAACAGAAAAGAATACATTAATGAAATGAGAGTCAGCACTGGTGCCATATGTGTTTTTACAATTCATTCAGGTCCAGATGAAGTAAAGCTTCAAATCATCAATAGATCAATGGATATTTAATGTTTTCTTATCAGTATTAGACTAGAAACATAATGACATATTCCAAAGAATCTTTTCATTGTCTTTGTCCAGGAAATAGATATCCATTCATCAAGAACATTTAAACATACCTTCTATCGGTTTGGACACTATCTTCTGAGTGTAACACTAAAAGAAAATGAAGTTGAAGCCTAAGTAGAAACCTCCCTTGACTGTCAATTGATTACATTAACCCATGATTGATTTCCTGATATGTTTTCTGAGTGAAGGTTCTGCATTTTGAGGGCCTAATCATAAGTACTGCTAATACGTATATCATTAATATAAGAATGATTTGGCTTAAATGAATCAGTGTTTATTAGTTTGATGCATTCAGGAACTAACTAAAATACCCGGACCCAGTGTTACTTTTTTGGAAGGGATTCACAAATATGTTAACTTTTCCTGCCCAAAATAAGCAAGAAACAATCCATCTCAAAAAATTGATATTCAATTTGACAGACATAGGCAGGATTTTAATGAGATAAAGTTATTTCTATTCCAGATAACAATTTAATCTGCAGGGGTTTGAACACCTGGCTACCTCATTTCCTAGTTTTCATTCAGTTTGAAGCAACTTTAACTTGTGTGATGGAGTGATGATTGAACAAGCATAGAGAAACAGATCAATCAAGTGTAGATTATTGCCGTACAGATAATATAATATTCAGAACATCAATTCTTTGGTGATATGTGAATGTCTTGTTCCCTCTTTTTTTTTCAGACAAAATAGAAGTTAAAGTTGGAGAATATAATGCCATAGCTGACTCCTTGGAACTAATTAACAACACTCTTAGATTTCAAGGTAGGACAAGCACAATGTTCATACATGATACATTTGAAATTCAGTGGGGTGAGATCTGCAATTCAGGATTCACCTATATTTCAGTGGAGCTAAATCTTCAGCTTCAGTGAATGATATTTGTTGTGTATGTTTAAAGCTGCACCCATCCAGCCAAATGCGAGTATTTCATCACATTTCCAACTGTGCCTGGTCCAGTTCAGTTTCTGATGAATATAACCTTTGGGATTTTAATTGTTGGGAATTTGAATGTCAAATGAACGTGGTTAAACTTTCTCTTGTTGGACACAGTTTTAGCCAAGCATCTGTGTTGTATGAATGTTACTTGCCATTTATCGGTCTAAGCCTGAATTTAGTTTATGTCTGTTGAATGCAGGCACAGACTGCTTTGTGCTCATGCAAGGAATATTGAAATTCAAAATGCACATACAGCAAACAATTAGGAGGTCAAATTTTACTTGGCCTTTGTTGGAAGGGAATTTGAGTGCACAAACAAAGAAGTCTTCCTAAGATTGTACAGAACTTTGGTGAGACCATATCTGAAATACTGTAAGTAGTGTTGGTATCCATATTTGGGGAAAGATAAATTTGCACTGGAGGCCATACAGCAAAGTTTCACTCAATCAATTCCTGGAATAAGGCATTGCCCGAAATGAGAAAGATGCTATCTTTCTTTCTGTCTTTTATTGAAGCCCAGTGTTGTATGTATGCTGGACAAATTGATAGAGGGCTCCAGGAGAGCAGATAACCATCATTAATTTCCTACTTGCATCTGGAGAGAAACACACCTTGAAACTTTATACAGGCTACAGCATGCATGTTACACTTCTTATACTTCAATATCCACGTGTCAGATATTATTTTTATTTCCCACAGTCATTACAGGCATTGTCTGTTCCTCATCCAAGGCCTTATTAGCATGGCTTCTTGCCACTAACATTGACTGTCTGGATGGCCTGTGTGTTATTCATCTGTACATCTCCAGTTACCCCCAGGCTTTGCTAACTTTACTTATTACTGACTATATAGCTAAAGCTTATCTCACTTAGCCCATTCCATTCTTCCTGTTACCCCTGTGCTTTTGGCCCTTGGCCTAGCCCAAGGTAGCCAATGCAGTGACATTGTCTTTTCCTTTCATGCTCTGCCACCCATCAGGTATTCAGCTTAGGATTGTAAAAGCAAGCCATCTGTGCAATTTAGTCCTCCGCTTAAGTTCCCTGAACTAACACCTCATCGTGCCAATTTCTAAATCCCCGCATCCATCTTCTATGTGTCTACTTGGTGTGATTAATCAAGCATATTAGAGATGAATTAATAAAAGTTATTCAATAACAAGTTGCAGGAGATGATTCGAATCGGTCGATGTATCTGTATATTTGTCAGCTAATTCCACAGTTCCTCCCACTAGCTGGTGGATTCAAGTTGTTTAACATTGTCTAAGGAAACAAAAAATGCTGGAAATCACTATGGGTCAGGCAGCATCCGTGGAGAGAGAGCAAGCTAATGTTTCGAGTCTCGATGACACTTCATCAGAGCTGCCTTGAAGTGTGGAGGGTGCAGAATTTGTGCAATAGTTAAAGGATTGCAGGGTGGAGTGCTGAGGGAGAAAGGATGTTGATAGTTCAGATAAAGTGATGGGAAAGTGAGAACAGCAGAACAATGGTGTGTCCAACTACCAGACAGGAAAGAACAGACAGTCCCACTGGAGTTGGGGAAGGGGAGAGAGGACATGGTGACAGAGGATGTAACAAGTAAATCTAAAAGAGAGGGAAGGAATGGGGGTGGGTTCACAATCTGAAGGTGTTGAGCCCAGAAGGTTGTAAAGTGCCTAGTCTGAAGATGAGATGTTGCTCCTTGAGTTTATGCTGTGATTCACTGGAGCATTGCAGATTGCCGAGGACATTCAAGTGGACAAGTCTGCTAAGGCTCAGGCATGTTGCTGGACTAAGTCTTATACACTTCCTGTGCCTTGGTTCAGATTAGGCTGAAGTATTCAGTTACTGGTGGGATTATATACAAGGACTGCTTTGGTATTTTATCAGGTTGTCTCTCACGCTATCCACAGCTTGCTTCTTTATATATTTCAACCAGTTACACCTTTCGCAGTCTTGCTGGTACCTGTGATTGCTGCAATTTCTGATAACCTTCTTCACTGTCCATGATACTGCCTATTTTGGTGTCATCCGCAAACTTACTAATCGTGCCTTGTACATTCTTATCCAAATCATTGATATAGATAACAAACACCAATGGGCCCTGCACCAACCCCTGAGGCACACCACTAGTCGCAGACATCCAGTCTGACAAGTGTCCATCCACTATTACCCTCTGCTTCCTACCATCAAGTCAATTGTGTATGCAATTTGCCAATTCTCCCTGGATTCAATGCGATCTAACCTTCCAGAGCAGCCTACCATGTGACTGGTACACCGAATTGTTATAGACGGGGCACAATCAATTGTTCCTGGATCAAAGCTCTTACTGCCATGTGGTAATACAATATTTCCCATTGCACATGTATGCAACAGTTGAGCCTCTATTGTTGCCCGTTATAGTCTCTATTCAATAAATCAGATGAGCATATACAACCAAAGAGGCTTCTGCACGAAAATAAAACAGGGAATTGCAGTTGCTGGAGATTTGAAACAAAAAGGAAAATTGCTGGCAAAACTCAGCAGGTCTGACAGCAATTAATGGGAGAAAACAGAATTAATGTTTCGATTTCGGTGATTCTTCATCAGACCATTTCTGGTGAAGAGTTAACAAACTTGAAATGTTAACTCTGATTTCTTTCCACAAATGCTGCCAAACCTATTGATCATCACCAGCAATTTCTGGTTCAGGTTTCTATACTATCTCTATCTAAATGAGTACTTATTGTATTTCACCCCATCTCTACTGCATGTGTTGGTATATTAAGCAACCTTTAAAAATAATTCTCCCTAATTGCCCCAATATTCTGTACCCTAAATAAAGTCAAATGATGCTAGTAAAACTTGGATTGTCAGGGCAATGCCAATCAATGGATTATCACAGAGTCATTGAGTCCTACAGCATGGAGACAGGCCTTCAGCCCAAACTGGTCCATGCCAAACAAAATGTTCATGCATGTTAATCCCATTGCCCTGTGCTTGGCCCATATCCCTCTAAACCTTTCCTTTCCATGTCTTCGTCCAAATGCCTTTCAAATGTTGTTAATGGACCTGCCTAAAACATTTTCGCTGGCAGATCATTTCATTCCATATGCATCCCATTGTGAAAAAGTTGCCCCTCAGGTTCCCATGTATTCTTTCCCCTCATACCTTAAACTGATGCCCTCTAGTCCTCGATTCCCCAACCCTGGAAAAAGTACTGAGTGCATTCGTCCTTATCCATACCTCTCATGATCTTATACACTTCTATAAGATTTCCCTCAGTCACCTATACTCTGATGATAAAAGTCCTAGCTTGTCCAACCTCTCCCTATAACTCAGTTCTTGAGTGCTGGCAACGTCCTTGTAAATTTCTTCTGCACACTTTCCAGTTTAGTAACATCCTTCCTATAGCAAGGTGACCAAAACTGAACACTCCAAGTGTGGCCTCACCAATGTCCTGTACAACTGCAACATAACTTCCCAACTTCTATACTCAGTGCCCTGACTGATGATGGTCAATGTGCCAAAAGCCTTGTTCACTGCCCTGTCCTCCTGTATTTCCACTCTCCGAGAACAGTGCACCCGAACCCAAAAGTCCCTCTGTTCCACTACACTCATTAAGACCTCAACATTCACCATAAAACTCCTACTTTGATTTGATTTTCCAAAATGCAACACCTCACACTTATCTATATAAAACTCCATTTGCCATTTCTTGGCCCACTTCCCCAGATGATCAAGATCTTGCTGCAATTTCTGATAACCTTCTTCACTGTCCATGATACTGTCTATTTTGGTGTCATCCACAAACTTACTAATCGTGCCTTGTACATTCTTATCCAAATCATTGATATAGATAACAAACACCAATGGGCCCTGCACCAACCCCTGAGGCACACCACTAGTCACAGACCTCCAGTCTGACAAGCATCCACCCACTATTACCCTCTGCTTCCTACCATCAAGTCAATTTGTATGCAATTTGCCAATTCTCCCTGGATTCAATGCGATCTAACCTTCCAGAGCAGCCTACCATGTGACTGGTACCAAGATCTTACTGAAATCCATATAGACTATGTCTACCACCCTGCCCTCATCAACCCTTTCTGGTCACTTCATCAAAGAACTCTAACAAATTTGTGAGGCATGATCTCCCACGCACGAAGCCATACTGACTACTCCTAATCAAACACTGTCTTTCCAAATGCATGTATATCTTATCCCTCAGAACCTTCTCAAGTAACTTATCTACCACAGGTGTTAGGCTTACTGGTCTATAGTTCCCAGGTTTTTCTTTGCAGCCTTTCTTGAATAAGGGCACAACATTTGCTACCCTGCAGTCTTCCAGGACCTCACCCATGGCTAACGATGATGCAAATATATCAGCCAGGGCCCCCATAATTTCTCCTCGAGCCTCTTGCAGGGTTGTTGGTCCTGGTTCAGGACCAGGAGATTTATCCACCTTCATACATTCTAATATGTTCAATAGCTCATGTACTATGATATGGACTGTCCCCAAGATATCACCACTAACTTCTCCAAGTTCCCAAGTCTTCATGTCTTTCTCCACAGTAAACACAGAGGAGAAATATTCATTGGGGACCTCGCCCATCTCCTGCGGTTCCACACATACATGTCCGTTTTGGTCCTTCGGGGGTCTTATTGTCTCTCTAGTTATTCTTTTTCCTTTGATATGCTTAAAGAATCTCTTTGGATTCACCCTAATCTTCTCAGCCAAAGCTATCTTATCACCCTCCTGATTTCCTTCTTCAGTAAACTTCTGCATCACCTATGTACCTCCAGCGATTCCCTTGATCCCTGTTGCTTGTACCTGAGCCATGGTCAAAGTGTCAATATCTCTTGTTATCC